GAGTCAAGTTTTACCTACAATAGAGGACTGGAGAGTGAAGGTTTCGCATCTTGCTGAAATGGCAAAGATTTCGGCTTATTTGAAGGATCATTCAAATGAACAATTTTTATCAATATGGAGAAGATGGATTGTTTATATTCAAAATAAGCATAGAATGGTGGAATATAGGTTAGGTTTTTAGATAAAAAAAATTTTTCTTTCTATATATATACATATATTTCACCTATTTATGTAGAATTATACTTTGTGGAGTTAGGGATATTAATATAAGGTTACTTTTAGATGAACAGCTACAATATTCACTCAGGTTTTGCTCACTAGTTTCTTTCCCAAGGTTGTAAAATGGGACAAAACTCACTTGAACAAATGTCTCCCTTAGCAATATAAATTTTGGGCTCAATTATGGTTGTAATTCATGGACTTTCCTGTATATCACAGGCTGTTTATTAGCATGTAACAAATCAGGGTTAACGCTGGGCAGTAAAAGAAACCTAACAGTTTTTAAGGAATTTAGCTGATTATACTCTGTTTCTTGATACACTGGGAAGATTGGCATTGCCAACCTTGATTCGATACAGAATTAAAAGGCACATACATATTTAATTTAAAATGAGAGCTGGTTTGGTGTAGTGGTTAAAGCACCAGGCTAGGAACTGGGACCACCATGAGATCCAGTTCTCCCTTTGGCGTAAAGCCAGCTGGGTGACCTTGGAGCCAGTCACTTTCTCTGAGCCCTAGGAAGGAGGCAATGGAAACCACTTCTGAAAAACCTTGCCAAGAAAACTGCAGGGGTCTGTCCAGGCAGTCTCCATGAACAGACCAAAAAAAAAAAAGTATTTTTAATCATACAAAAATGTGAAGAAGAAGAAGAAGAAGAAGAAAAGAAGAAGAAGAAGAAGAAGAAGAAGAAGAAGAAGAAGAAGAAGAAGAAGAAGAAGAAGAAGAAGAAGAAGAAGAAGAAGAAGAAGTAGTAGTAGTAGTAGTAGTAGTAGTAGTAGTAGTTAACAAAAATGTAGCAGTATGTGTGTGGTATCTCACCACATTTGTATTTTTGCCCTGTAATTAGAACTAAACATGTTTTCTATTTATTTATTTTTTAAACCAAACAATGGAGTCATAATTAAAATAAGATTCTTTCACGGGATCATGCAGTTAGGCAGAGAAGATTATTGATATACAGGGTCATTTTAAAAAATGAAAGAAAAGAACTGTTTGTGCAGCTCCTATGCCTTCTAATAGCAACAGTCACAAATTGTTCATAGCACATCCACGGCCAATCCATCCAGAGCACATAGATCAAAGAAAGGATACAGCTTGTCTGTTGATAAACCTACAGCAGAGGTCCCCAACCCCCAGGTTGTGACCCACTACCCGGGCTGTGGCCTATTCAGAATTGGGCCACTTGAGTGGCTGGCCGAAGCATGCGTGCGTGTAACTCAACTTGCATGAACAGTGGGCTGGTGGGCACTTGTGTGCATGTACGCCAGCCACTGCTCATGCAAATTAAGCTGCACACATGTGCATCAGCCCGCTGCTTGCACAAGGGCTGCGTGTGCATGCATGCCAACCCCCCAATTTGTTAGAAGTAAATTAGACTCTACCTATTCCTAACAGTTCTGTCTGCTAACTGCATTCTTTTTACTATATATAAGTTGGCTAGGAATTCTCAAAGTAGCTGGTTGGGGAAGACTGGAAATGTTTCTAAGCAATTATCCACAGGTCCAGTTCTATACTTGCAGACAAGACCGTGTGTCGTTTATATGGGCTTATGTATCCTACTCACATAATACAGTTTGGTGTAGTAGTTAAGACATCAGGAAACACAACATAGACTATCAGGATTGGTAGGGACCTTGGAAGTCAGCCCCCTTCTTGAGCAGGAGATTCCACACCATTCTGGACAAATGGTTGTTCCTTATTAGTTCTAGTCCCACCTTCTTGAGCCAATCATTCTCCCTCAGTCCTAAAACGGGCAATAGCAAACCATTTCTGAAACACAGCCAAGAAAACAGCAGGGACTTGTCCAGGCAATTGCCAGGAATCAAAAACTGACTAAAAGGCACGTGCACATAGGCACATCTACTCACACATCATACTTGAAAAGAGTTTCAAATGCCAGAAAATACAGAGTTAAGGAGACCATAGTTGGGTCTATGCTCTAAGGTTGTAAATATGAGGGTTGGGTGTAAAAAAAAACAACTCCCCTCCTAACTTTAGTTAAATTCAGGATATTTTAATAAATGAAACAGGAAATCAGTCCTTGAAATAAGCTCTTTTTTTATATTCATCCCCCCCCCCATAATCACCACCATTCTCTGTCAGTCATGGACAAGCTTCTTAAAACTGTCATGAAAAGATATCTTCAATCAGGTTCTGATAATATATTCCATCTTAACATTTTAATCACAAAAATATTCCTCCAAACTAGAGAAAAACCGGAAATCTGGACTGTATGGTAGAGAGGGAGGGTGTAAAATGGTGAGATCCAGCTTCCCAATTGCATTTTGAGTGGTTAAGGAAGCCACACTTTGTCATCTTGCAGCAAAATTTCCTTTTTGTCCATCCAAAGTCTGCACTAAATCAGTGTCTTAAAAATGTTAAGTGTTGCAATGCAATGGACTGAATGATTAGAGGTGCCAGTTTCAAGGAAATTCAAGTAAACAATGCCATGTGCATCCCCCAAAATTGTAATCATAAGCTCTCCATCTGAAGCCTTTCTTTTCTACTGATGAAACTTTGTGGTGAGAATGGAGAGATATATTTCACAATGCCCTAGAAACATTCCTCAGTTTCTGTATCTACAACTACCAATCTTGAGAAGAATAGCAACTGTGAAAATGAACATTTTGCCAAAACTACTCTTTTTATTTCAAACAATACCGATAAAAACTGACAATTTTTTTTTTGATAAATTAAATACATCGATATTGAAATTTATCTGGCAAGGGAAAAAAAGCTAGAATCAGACTGAAAATGTTACAAGAAGCAAAAGAAAATGGAGGCTTTGGGCTACCAGACTGGGTCTTGTACTATCAAGCAGCCGCACTAACATGGTTAAAAGAATGGATAACTCTTAGAAATAAAAGACTATTATACCTAGAAGGACATGACCTATAACTTGGATGGCATGCTTTCCTATGCTGTGGAAAGAACAAATTTCACAAATACTTTCAAAACCAATATGTAAGAAATGTACT